GAGCGCGGCGGCACTCCCGCCGAGGGTTCGGATCCCACATGCAGACCAGCCGCTCACTGGCTGAGTGAGGTGCGGGCGCAACACCGAGGGTTGCGATCCCGTTGCCGGTCCGGTACAGGCGCGACACTGAGGGTTGCGATCCGTTGCCGGTCATGAAAAAAGACAAAAAGGAAAAAAAAAAATTTGAAATTAAGGTAGTTTCTGGAAAATTGACCCCTAACAGTAAACCAAAAGGGAATTTTTTTTTTGGTCACTATTTGCTAGGCATTTTCATAAAATTAAAACGATAAATAGCAAATTTAGCCACTGGAGAAACACTTTCTTCACCTGACTTCCATAACACTCTACTCACTTGATTTTCTTTTCTCATTCTCCTTTGCAAGATCTTCCTTTTCTCTCCTCCTCTTCATGTGGGATTGCTCCGGGGTTCAGTCCTTGGTCCTCATCTCTTTTTCAATTTTCTATCTACCCACTCTAATGGTTTGAAATACCAAGTATATTCTGATGACTCCCAAATTTTGATCTGTAGTCCCCTCCTCCCCTCCTGCTGCAGAATCATACATCCCAACTATTTGACATCATCAATCAGATCACTAAGTGTCTCAAACTTAACATTTCCAAAATTGAAATCTTGATCTTACCTCACAAATTTGCTCCATCTGAAGTCTTCCCCATTTCAACTGATGGTAACTCTACTCTCCCAGTCACTCTGGTCAAAAGTCCTGGGGTCATCCTTGACTCTCTTTCTTTCATGCGCTCCTCCATTCAATAGTCAGAAACTTTACCTTCCGGAAGTATCTGCCACATCCACTATCATTTCTCATCTCCTTCTAATTTCCCCACCCCCAACAGTCTCTTCTCAAAAAGAGTCTCAGTGATGCTTTCAAAATGGAAGTCAGATCATATCACTCCTTTCTCAAAATCCTCCAAGAGATCTGCATCTCATATAAAATGAAAGCCAAACTCCTTACAAAACTCCATGCCATCTGTCCAATCTCAACCGTTTTCCCCACTTACTCTCCTTTCTCATGGGACTCCTGGCTTCCATGGTGTTTCTTGACATGCCAGGCTTGCTACCAACCAGGAGCCATGGAGCCCGGCTGCATCCTTTGCCTAGATGGCCTTTCTCTGAGATAAACATCTTTTTTCAGATTAACAGCTCTTCCTCCAGACAACTGCATAGTTTAAACCCACCAATCACCTCCTTCAAATTTCAGCTCAATGTAACTTTTTCAGTGAGGCCCAGTCTGAGAATCCCATTTAAACTTCCAACATGCCCCTCTACCCTCTCATCTTCTTTTATCCCATTCCATTTTTTTCATACCGTGTATTACTTTATAGCTCCCCACACTATTTATTTATTTGTGTACTCATTTTAAGTTTCTCTCCAGTAAAATATAAACTAAATGGGGCAAAGATTGTTTTTGCTCCATTATTTTGAGGACTCGGCATACAGCAGACGCTCAGTAACAGAGTTCACGAACTCATCATTTCCCCGTTCATACAACAGGACAAGCCGTCTAACCATTCCTCAAGCCTCAGGTCTAGCATCTCCCTACACGGCGAACGTTCACAGAACAATCTACATTCTTCTTTAAGAACTTTAGTACCCCGGAAGTAAAAGCTTAAGGAAGGGGTCAGAGAAGAAAACTGTTTCCGTTTCCGTACAGACGCGAAGAAACAAACACCATGGCGAAAGCCGGGGATAAGAGCAGCGGCAGTGCGAAGAAAAGCCTGAAACGGAAAGCCGCAACCGAGGAACCTCAGGAGGCTGCAGTCGTTGGGGATGAGGCGACAGAAAGCGGGGTCAAGCCACCGAAAGCGGCTGCCTTTCCCCCAGGCTTCAGCATTTCCGAGATTAAGAACAAACAGCGGCGACACTTAATGTTCACGCGGTGGAAAGAGCAGCAGCGGAAGGTACGCGAGGGGTGGAGGCAGCCGGGCTCATGCGCAGTGTCCCTGCCTGGGGACCCCCCGGCGGACGCAGAGGGGGGCGCGCTGGTTCCAGTGTCCTGGTTTCCTCTCCCTGCTTTAGACACTCTACGATCAGCCTTTTGCTTCAGCCTTAAGGTTGAGAGTTCCCTTCCTTGCTAGCTTATTCCTAGAGAAGTTCTGCTCTCCTAGTAGTGAAAATTACTTCCTCTGGGCCTAGAAGGCAAAAGTGTCAGTCCCTCTGCTTTACCCAGTTTACCCAACGTTGGTTAATTTCTAGAATCTGGGCAATACATAACAAATCCACAGTGTCGCTTCTCTGATTCCTGCAGCAGCTCTTACTGAAATTAGTACTGTACAATTTCCAGTAATTGTATTTTCTGTTTACAGCCTTATCCTCCTAATGTTCTGGGGGGTAAACTTAAACTGAAAGAGAGGTTTAAACGGCTTGTCCAAGATGACAGTGCTCATTTGTGGTTAAATTGTAATTGTAAGAAAGCATTTGCTTATCCTTGCACAGCATGGAGATGCACATTTATTCTTTTTATTTGCCTGCTTCCTCTTAGTAGGCTTTTGAGATCCTGGACTGATTCTTATTCAAAGTTTCAAGGTGCATCCAACCCGATCTAAGATATTAAGGGATATCTTAGAAGTCTTCTAGGATATCTAGGACTATGATTTTTAATCTGAGACCTGATGGATTGAGAGTCAGTAGGCTTGGAAAAAAAAGAATATTTATTTTCTATTGTGTGTCAAGCATTGTCTTGAAATCTCCAGAAGTTAAGTTTCACAGTACAGCAAATTCTACTCATCTTTTTAAGTTCTTCCAATTTTTAAAAGCATATTTTGATTACAAGATATGTGGATAACTAGTGATGGTTTTATTGGAAACCTGAAAACTCATCTCTCATTGTTATTTATTTTTAGTGCTCTTCAAGGGAAGCAAACAGTATAATTAAGGTCTTTTTTAGGATGCAACCGATTAGGCAAAACAAAACAACACACTCCGTTAACTTATTTAGATATATGTTTTGCACCTTTATTAATTTAATTTCAGGCCGTATAGCAAAAGATAAAGCTAGTGAAATTTTAAATACCGAAACTTGCCAATTTAGATTTTTTGAAGGAGCAAGATCTCTGTTAAAAAATCTTATTGTTTGGCCAGCTCATTTGGCTTATAGTAATTTAGGTATAAAAATCTAGATGCTTATTTTAATGGATTACAAAGATTGCCCAGTTTAAATATTCTAGCAATAGTAATATGTAGTTCCAGTTTGTGTTTGTAATATAACTGGTGGTTTCTCAATATTGTTTTTTTTTTTTTAACCCTTTAGGAAAAGTTGGCCGCTAAGAAAAAACTTAAAAAAGAGAGAGAGGCTCTTGGTGATAAGGTAAATAAAATTTTTAATCATCTACTTTCTATCTTATATTAAAGAATGTTTTTTTAATATTTACATTTAACTACTTTTAAAGTTTATTATGAAACATTTCAGATTTATAAAAAATACATAAAAATAATATAACAAGCCCCTTTCTATCCTTTACCAGCTTAAAAAATAATGTTGAAAGCCCCTCATCTGCTTCTTCCTGATTGCTTTCCCTTTCAAAGATAACCACTAATGAAATTGTTTATTTTTCCTATGCACTTCTTTATATCTTTACTATGTTTGTGTGCCTAAACAATGAACACAATGGTAGTGTTTTTCAAGTTAACTTTATGTGTTTATGAGGCAGAGACACCTCTCCCTGACTTTGGGAATGGGGAAGCTCTCCAGGTTAGGCCTGGAGCTGGAGATGTGACTTGAAGCAAAAGCTCTTTGTCAGGCAAGGCTGGGGAGAAAACAGGGCAGAGCCTCTTCTTGGAGTAGGGTGGGAGTATGTAAGAAAGAGAGCTGATAGAGAGGATATGAACCGGTGAAGAGTAAAAGTGGGGAGTTGGGGGAGAGTGAGACACCTAGATGGATTATGGCAAAGAAAAGAGCAGAGAATGCCTCAAGAAAGGATTTAGCTATTTTTGTGGTCTTGATAAGAAGTGAAATCTTTCTATTGAAATTTTGAAAAGAACTACTGAGTACTCCCACATTATTGCACAGCTGTTATTTTCATTTAGTTTCATGTTATTCATGGTTACTCATAGGATATGATTTATACCTGTAAAATTTTAAAAGTGTACAACTCTCCCCACTCCCGTCTTTTTTTTTTAATGGAAATATAATTGATTATACATATTTGTGGTGTACAGTGTCAACAATCAGTATTTGTGTACAATATGTGATGGTTAAATTAGGATAGTTGGCATATTTTTCATTATAAAATGTACTCATTTTATTCATAGTTACTCTTAGGTTATGATTTATACTTGCAAACTTTCAAAACCATACAAGTCTCCCCACTCTCATCTCTTAAGATAAGGTACCAAGTAAGGATAAGGGTTTTTGAGGAAGAGAGAATATAAAGACTGTATAGACACTAAACACACTACTTTTTTTTTTTTTTTTTAAACTCTTCAAGAGTTAGTCAATTATAGTCAAATTTTTGCTGGTCACCATTTGAAAATATCATCAATCTTGTTTTTTGGACTGAAAGATGACTTCCTAAAATTGCCTCCTTTAAATCACTGAAAACAATATTTGTTTCATGGAGCAATAATAAAATATTAAGCAGTTTATTTGTTCGTATTTTCTTCATATCTCTGCTACTGTACATATATTTTGAATTAGTTGTAGTTAGTGTATTCTTACACTTCTGTGTTTCTGCTCCTTTAACAGTTCATTTACACAATTTCTTGGTCTAAGCTGAATTTACATGATTGCTGATTCTAACAGTATTCCATCATGTTGATGTGCCATCACGTGTTTGGTCATTACCCTGTTGGACATTTTCCCTGTTTGCTGTTATTTCCATTATGAATAGTGATACTACAAATTTTTTTGTATAAATTGTCTGCCTCCCTCCTTTTCATTTCTCCCCATAAGTCCCCCAAAGTTGAATTAACTAGATCAATGGATAGACTTTGTTATATATTTCTGAATCACTCTCTGGAAATATTGGAACAAAGTCATATGCATATATACTTTTATAATTTTTTCCATTCTGGTTTTTTTTTTAGCTACTTGATATTTTTCTCCTTAGTGGATAATTATTTTGATCCCTATTTCTTTTCTTTGCTGTTTCTGCCTAGTTTTAAGCCATTTCGTTTAATGTTAGCCATTTTTCCAGTATGTATGTCTCTGCTCAAATTGTTAAAAAGCTTGTTCAATATTTTTATTAGTACTGATATAGCAGTACCAGTGGGTTGAAATGAGGAACAGATTGCATTTTTGAGTAATATGTAGGTTTTTGTTATTCTTCCTCAACGGTAATGTGAAATAATTAATATAAAATACTTGTAAAATTTAATTCTTTCTCTTTTATCTAGGCTCCACCAAAGCCTATACCCAAGACCATTGACAACCAGCGAGTGTATGATGAAACCACAGTAGACCCTAATGATGAAGAGGTAATGTTAGAAGTCTTAAATGAATTTAAATGATCACATTTGGTAAATTATCTGTTGATATGTTTATGTTTAATTTAAAGTGCTGGCCAAGTTGTATAAAGGACTGATTCGGCTATAATGTTGGTGTTATTATTTGGTGTAGATTATTTCATAATTGAATTTGCCAATAATGCTATAGAAAAATGCATTAAATATTTGTTTTCTACAAATATATTTTATGCCTAAGTAAACTTTTACATTTCTCATTCAGTCTCTGACCAGTACTTTTGATGTTTTAAAAGAATTCCTCATACTATAGATTTTTGTAGCATTTGTTAGACATTTTGATGCCTAAGGATAAAATTTGATAGTATTTTTTGTATCCTTATAAAACTCTCTGTTTCAAGATAATCTTCCACTTTGCACAATTTCTCTTTAAATACCTTGCAATGGTGCAGTGAGAGAATCAGGTTTTAAAACTGTATACTTTAAAAATTTTTGTAGAAGAAACTTGGTTTTTAATGTTTGTTTTCAAACAATGCTGTCAGTATTTTTTCACGTATCTCCTGGTATAGTTGTTCATTCATTCATTCAGTCTGTCTTCCCGCAAATGTTTACTGATTGCTATGTGTTGGGATCTGTTTTAGGGACTTGGTATCCATCAGTGCACAAAATACACACTATCTGCCCACCCAGAGCCTAACATTCTAGGAAGTGAGACAATAAACATAATAAAATAAATAAATTGGACATAAGTTAGTAGGTAATAGGTTAAAGGAAAAAAGTACGGTAAAGGAGATTCAGGACTACCTGGAGTAGAAAAGGATTTACAGTTGTATGTACATAGGTGTTTGTGTGTGTTTGTGTATTTTAATATTATGTATTTTGACATACTTTCAGACTTAATAGAAAAGTAGGAATTAATGTATACCCTTCACCCAGAATTCCTAAATATTAAATTGTACCACACTTTGTTTTCATTTGTATTCTCTCTGAAATGCTGAAGTGGCAGGCATGATGCCTCTTTATTTCTGTATACTCAATACTTCAGTGTGTATTACCTGTGAACAAGTGCTTTTTAATAAGCACAGTACAGTTATCAAAATCAGACAATTAACATTGATATACAGTATTTTTATCTAATCTATAGGTTTTATTCAAATGTCACCACTTGCCCTGAGCCTGTGAACAAGTGCTTTTTAATAAGCACAGTACAGTTATCAAAATCAGACAATTAATATTGATATACAGTATTTTTATCTAATCTATAGGTTTTATTCAAATGTCACCACTTGCCCTGAAAATGTCCTTTTTAGCAAAAGAAAAGTCCCAAGTCATGCATTTTGTTTCATCGTAATGACTCTTTAACCTTCTTTAATTCAGAACAGTTCCTCAGTCTTCATTTGCTTTTCATGACATTGACATTTTTGAAGAGTACAGAACAGATATTCTGCAGAATATGAGTTAATATAAGTTTGATTTTTTTTTTCCTGATTGTATTCAGTTTATGTACTTTGACAGGCATACCACAGATGTGATGTTATTTCATTTTAGTGTCTCTTATCAGGAGTCACATGATGTTGATTTCACGTTACTGGTTATGTTAACTTTGATCACTTGGGTAAAGTGGTGTCTGCCAGATTTCTCCATTGTGCAGTTACTCTTTGTTTTTCCCATTGCAGTAAATAAGTATCTTGGGGGAAGATACTTTGAGATTATGAAGATGCATTTTACTTCTGGAACTTTCACTCAAATTTTGCAATTACAAGTAATTTTTTCCAGTCTGATAGGTGTGAAATTGTGTCTCGGTGTAGTTTTAATTTGCAATTCTCTTCTTATGCGTGTGGTTAGACATCTATTCATATGTTTTCCTTTATTTGTCTCTAATCAGTTGTTCATGTCTCTTGCCCATTTTTCTATTGGTGTGATTAGGATTTTGTATATGATGGTTAGGGTAGGCTTCATTGAGAAAATGACGTTTTTAGCAAAGACTTGAAGGATGTAAGAAAGTTAGCCGTCTTTGGACAAAAAGAACTCCAGGAAGAGAGAACATACTCAGTGCAAAAGTTCTAAGGCAAGAGCATACCTAATATGATTTTGAAGGATAGCAAGGAGGCCAGTGTGACTGAAATTAAGTGAGCAAGGGGGAGGATTATAGAAGAGGTGCCGGGAAAGTGTGGGGAAGGGGAAAGGCCAGATTAGTGACTTTGTTGACCATTGTGAGGACTTTGGTTTTACACTTCATGAAATGAGGTGCCACTGGATGATTTTGAATGATGTGATCAGACTTAATTTTTAAGAGTGATTGACTGCTATACTGAGAATATAATTGGAGGGATAAGCAGAGTAGTTAGGAAGCTACTGAAGTAATCCAGGAAAGAGATGATGATGACTTTGACTAGGCTGGTTACAGTCAAAATGGGAGAATTGGTCTGATTCTGAGGTTTTTCCTGGGTATATTTTGAAATTAGAGCCACTGGAATTTCCTGATAGATTGGATGTGAGGTGTGAAAGAATGAAGATTCAAAGATGGTGTCAAGGTTTTAGCCTGAGCGATTAGAAGGTTGGAATTGTCATTGACTAGATACGGAAGGCTGTGATTGAAACAGATTTAAGGAGGAAATCAAGAGTTCAGTTTTGGATATGTTGTGTTTGAGATGACTCTTAAGAGTTTTTGGAAGAGACATCAAGCAGGCAGTTGGGATATGAGTTTGTAATTCAGGGAAGAGGTCTTGGCTGGAGATAAATTTGGGGATAATAGGCACGTAGAGGGTACATACATGTGAAAGTTTCCCTAGAACATTTACTGTGGGAGAATTTGTTGGGTCCTGGGTTGTATGAATGTTCACTGTCTGGCTACTGCTAAGCTATGGCTAAGGCCTGGAATCCTCACAGTGCCAATTGTCTAGCTCTTCCTACTGTTTGTGACGCCAGTGTAAAGCTAGGCCACCATGCCAGTTGTTGCAGCACTTTTACCTGCCAGTAATCCTGTACCGACTGGGCCGATGTTTGAGCTAGGTCTGGGTCTGGAGCTCCCAGACCCCTCAAGCCCATTCACAGACTGGGTCACAAACCCTTCACACACCAGGCTGGGTCACCAGACCCCTCCGTGCCAGGCTGGGTCACCATACCCCTTCACGCAGGTCTATAAGCTAGGTAACCGGCCACAGGGTCCTTGGAAGCTGCAGGTCTGGAAAAAAACATGGCTGCACAGGGTGGGCACCCGAGGCAGTAAAACACCAGCCAAAGGGGCGCCACTGTGCAGGCGCACTTACTTAACACACACAGTGTTTACCGAATGACCCTGAACCGGCTCTGAGGCAAGGGGAGCCTGACCAAATTATTCTATTTTCCCAACATTCACCTTTACAAAATAGTACCATAATGTTTTCCAAAGTAGTGGTTGTATCATTTTACACTTCCGTAGTATCAGAGCAGTATTCCTGTTCATGCACATTCTCACCAACTCTTGGTATATTCAGACTAGTAGTGAAGATCTATCTCATTGTGGTTTGAATTTGTATTTCACTATTTTCTAATGTTGCTGAACATCTTTTCATATGTACTGTTTTCTTTAGAGATATGCCAGTTCATGTCTTTCACCCAACTTCCTATCAAGTCATGTATTTTACTGATCTGTAGAACTTCTCTGTATAATTTGGATACTAATTATACGTGTTAAAAGTATCTTCCAATTTATGGATTCTCTTTTTAATTTCTTAATTATTTAGCTTCTTAATAAGTCTTGATATCTGTAAGGGCAAGATGCTCCTCACTCCCACCCCTAAATCCCTGTCTCTCTCCAGGAGTGTTTTGAGCCCTCCTGGGCTTTTGGTCTTCTGCATAAATTATAAATGGCACTAAATCAGATCAATTTGGGGATCTCTGTATATTGCTTTACCTAGGCTTCTTTAAATAATGAAAATGTATTTCAATGAGTTTCATAATTTTCTTCATGCAAGTTTTACATGTACATCTTGTTAAAGCTGTTCCTGTTTTTCTTTGTGTAACTTGCATCTCTTTGAAATTGTTTTGTTTGCCGATTTATAAAAAGACTAAATTTTTGGATAGTGATCTTCTGATCAGTAGCTTACCTAAACTCATTTCAAATAATTTGTCTGAATATTGTTTTCATTTTTCTGTTTAGATAATCATTACTGAATGACAGTTTTGCTTCTTATTTAAATCCATTAACAGTTTATTTTTCCCCCACTTTTGTGCTGACCAGAACCTACAGCATAATATCAAATCAACAGAAAAAGCAATAGTGGCATCTTTGCCATGTTCCTGATTTTAAAGAAAATACTTCTAATGCATCAACATTTGTATCATTAATGGTTAATTGCTTGTAGATTAAGGAAATTCCATTTATTCTTATTCTTATTCTGGTTTTTGTTTTGTTTTGTTTTGTTTTTCTTTTTTTTTTGTGTGTGTGTGTGGCTGGCTTTTTCTTTTTTTTTTTTTTTTGTGTGTGTGTGTGGCTGGGCTGTATGGGTATCTGAACCCCTTGACCTTGGTGGTTTTGTTTTTCTTTTTTTTTTGTGTGTGTGTGTGGCTGGGCTGTATGGGTATCTGAACCCCTTGACCTTGGTGTTATGACACTGTGCTCTAACCAGCTGAGCTAATGTTTTTTCTTTTGTTTTATTGTGAATGAATGTAGAATGTTATCAGATACTTTTTCTGCAAATAGTGAGATGATTATGTGTTGTTTTTCTCTTTATTGCATTAATGTAGTAAATGACACAGATTTTCTAATGTTAAACCTCTTTTTCTCATTCTTGGGATAATCCCAATTTGGTTATGGTGTTTTATCTTTTTTTATATATTTTTTTGGTTTGTTAATACTTTGCTTATCTGTGTTCATGCGTGAGACCGTAATAATACCTCCTTTTCATTCCTAGTATTATATATTTGGGCTTTTTCTCTTAGTTTTTACCAGAGATGTATCTATTTTATTGTTGCTTTCAAAGTACTTTTTCTTTGACTTTCCCTATCGAATCTTTGTTTTCTTTCTTTTTTTTTTTTTTTCCTTTTTGTCTTTTTTACTGACCGGTAATGGGATCACAACCCTCAGTGTCGCGCCCTGTACCGGGGACTGGCAATGGGATCGCAACCCTCGGTGTCGTGCCCGCACCGCGCTCAGCGAGTGAGCGGGAACCGGTCTCCACATGGGATCCGAACCCTCGGCGGGAGCGCCGCTGCACTCCCAAGTGGCGCACTCTCCAGTGCTCCACCGGGCCGGCCCAAATCTTTGTTTTCTAATTTATTTATATCTCCTCTTATCTTTATTGTTTATTTTCTTTTCCTTCTTTTGACTTATCCTGTTTTTATTTTATTGATTTGCTAATTTTTCATTTTTTCTAATATCAGCTGTTAAGACCACAAAGTACCACTTTTGGTATATCCCACAAGTTTTAAAATGTGCTATTTTCATTATTGTTTAAATCAGAGTATCTCTTTTAATGGAAGATTTGTTGATTTCTTCTTATAATTTCATTAGTTTTTTGCTTGATATATTTTTTTATTTCATTAGTTTTCCACCAATCTTTATTATTTCTTTTTTCTGCTTACCTTGGGGTTTATTTGGGGGGTTTTGTTTTTTTTCCTATAGCTTTTTAAGATAGCAGCTTAGGTTATTGTTTTTAAACTTCTTTCATTCTAATATAAGCATTTAAAAATTTGGTTTTCCCCATATACCCTGCCTTAACCACAGCCCATACATTTTGATATGTTTGTTGTGTTTCTATTTAATTTTGTTCGAGTTATTTTGTAATTTCTCTTGTGATTTCTTCTTTGGCTCATCTATTATTGTTTCATTTAATTTCTAAATATTTGAGGATTGTCCAGATTTCTTTCTTGCTGATGATTTCTAATTTAGTTTTATTGTGGTTGTGGAACATTGTTTGCTTTCAGTCCTTTTCAATTAAAGAGACTTTTATGTCCTAGCATATGGCATGTTATGGAGAATGCTGTGTGCAGCCCTTGAAAAACATTTGTATTTCGCTGTTTTGGGATAGATTGTTATGTATATGAGAATTGGTTCAAGTTGGTTGGTCGTGTCCTTCACGTCTTCTCTATTCTTTTTGAATTTCTGTCTTAGTTGTATCAGTTGCTGAAAGAGTAATATTAAAATCTTCAGCTATACTTGTTGAATTGTCTATTTCTTGCATTCCTTTCAGTTTTTGCTTCTTCAGTTTTTGGGGGGTTCTTTTGTTCAGTGCATGTATATTTATAATTATACATTTATATCATAATAATTACAATTATATCCTCTTGATATATTGACCCTTAATCCAATATATAATATATCCTTCTTGTCTCTAGCAGTATTTTTTTTTTCCTTAATGTCTGTTCTGTCTGATGTACAGTACATATAGCAATTTAACTTTCTTATGGCCATTGTTTGCATGGTATATCTTTTTTATATATATTTACTTTCAATCTGTTTATGTCTTTGAATTTAAAGTGTGTCACTTATAGAGAGCATATAGTTGGATCTTGCTTCTTTACTTGGTTTCACAATTAACATTTAATGTTAATTATTGATGTAGTTAGATTTACTTCTGCCATTTTGCTTTTTTTCTCAAAATTTCTTACATCTTTATTTTTTCTCTGCTTTTTCCTTGACGGCTTTCTTTCATATTAAACAAATATTTTTATGCTGTTTTAATTCCTCTTGATTTTTTAAGCTATATTTGAGGGTTTTCTTAGTGGTTGGTAAAATATTACCAAGTTTGTACTAGTATAGCTTCATTTTCTCCACCCTTGTTTTTGCTGTCATTATCTTATATACTATTTCTGTCTGTGTTATAAACCTAACGTAATAATTACTATTTTAAAGAATCTCATATTTTTTAAAGAAATTAAAAGTGTACACACATACACACACACGCAAAATCTTTTATATTTACCTACATATTTACCATTTACAGTGTTCTTTACATCCTCTAAATCTAAATTAGCATCTGGTGTCATTTTCTTTCAGCTTGTAGGACTTCTTTTAGTCTTTGTTTTTATAGCAGATTTAATAGCAGCTAATAATCTGTGTTTATCTGAGAATGTGGATGTTTGCCTTCATTTTTAAAAGATAATTTTGTAGGTTATAAAATTCTCGGTTGACCCTTTTTTTTGTTTAGTACTTTGAACATATCATTCCACTGCATTTTAATCCTCATTATTTCCATTAATCATTATTGTTTCTTTCTACCTTCTCTTATTTGTTTCAGAGTTTTCTCAGTTTTTGCAGTTTGACTTTGCAGTTTGGCTCTGATATGTTTAGGTTGTTCTTTATTTATCCCAACTTGGGATTTGTTGAGTTTCTTGGATCTGTGTGCTGATGTTTTCCATCAAATTTTGGGTGTTTGCAGCCATTATTTCTTCAAATATTTTTTGTGTCCTTTCTCTCTCTTTTTTTCTGGGTATCCCTTTACACATACTATTGAAGTGTTTGATATTTTTCTACAAGTGTTCTCAGCTTTGCTCCATTTTCTATGATTGTTTTCTCTTTTCTTCAGATTGGATAATGTTTATTAATCTATTTTCAAGTTCATTGATTCTTCTGCCTTTTTAGATCTGCTATTGATGCCCTTTTTTTCTTTAAATCTTGGAATATATTTATTATACCTGCTCTGAAGTCCTTGCTAAATTCAGCATCTTAACCCACTCAGTTATTATCAACTGCTTTTTTCCTGATTATGAATCATATTTTCTTGTTTCTTCACATATCTAGTAATTTTTTGATTGCAAACTGGACATTTTTGAAAAACATATTGTAGTAACTCTAGATGCTGTTTTATTTTTTAAGGGCTACTGGTTTTTTGTTTTTGTAATTTGCCTGGACTTAATAACTGTGGAATCTGTCTCCTCCTTATTAGTGCAGTGTCTCTGATCAATTTTTTTGTTGTTATTTTTAACCTCTCTCCCTAGTGATGCCCCGTGTGTGTGTGGCTTCATGGTCAGCCATTGGTTAGACAGAGGTTGTGTTAAGACACTTTGAGCCCCAAGACTTTCACTTACAGAGCTCCCCTTTAAATTTCTGGCTGGTCCATACCAACCTTGAACTGGGTCCTGAAACCTTGGACTGGCAAAGCTGTGGGTTTTCACCCCCTACCATCATCATTCCTCCCTCTCCTCCTGATCCAGTCTACCACCTCTGAATCCAAGACTACTGGTTCTTACCTGCCATCAGCCCTGAAGTTGGTGACATTTTTGTTTTCACCAACCAAGTTGATGGGGGAATAGAAGTAACTTCAGGCAAGGTTCCTGATGTTCTTGCCTATGGCTGTAGCTATTTTTTGAGAATAAACAGTTTGTGCCCTGAAATGATTTTTTATAATTTTATCCAGTTTTATACTTGTATTCTACAGAGGGGAAGTCATCTAACCTCTTCATGTTGCCATTAATATCAGTCCCTCCTGGGCCTTCTTTAAATCCCCTATCAGCTAGGTAGCCAGTGTTAAACAATGCTGCTGGAGCTGCTTTTAATTTAATGGCATGGTGAAGTATTTGTTTGATATAAAATTATCTCTCTTCTTTGTTCCTAGGTTGCTTATGATGAAGCTACAGATGAATTTGCTTCTTACTTCAACAGACAAACTTCTCCCAAGATTCTCATCACAACATCAGATAGACCTCATGGGGTAAACACATTGATTAGTATAGTTCTTGAATTCTTAATTTTCCTATATTACTTCTATTTAAAGTACTCTGTTCAGTAGACTTAAATCATCAGTTAATTGCTGTAGATAATGCCTCTGAATAAGCTAAATAAAATGTAGTACTGGTGGTATGATGTTGATTCACTAAGCATGATTCTTCAGGACAGGGTTTCTTAACTGCAGCACCATTAACATTTGGGGCTGGATAATTCTTTGTTATGGTGAGCTATTCTGTTCATTATAGGATGTTTAGCAGCACCCCTCGCCTCTTATCCATTAGATGCCAGTAGCAATCACACGCCCCTACCACCACCAGTCATAACCACCAAAAATGTCTCCAGGCATTGCCAACTGTCCCCTGGTGGAGCAAAATACCCCCAATTGAGAACCATTGCTTTAGGATGATCAGCCTTTGATAAAAGAAGAAAAACTGTTCCGATTTCATTCTTTTCTCAGTATTGCTCTCTTAATAACACTATGTTATAATAATCAATATTCATTTCCTTATGAATATATACCACATAAAATTTTTTTTTCACTTTTAAGAATTTTTGTTATTTTGTTTTACAGAGAACAGTACGACTCTGTGAACAGCTCTCCACAGTTATACCAAACTCACATGTTTATTACAGAAGAGGACTGGCTTTGAAAAAAATTATTCCACAGTGCATCTCAAGAGATTTCACAGATCTGATTGTTATTAATGAAGATCGTAAAACACCAAGTATCCTTCTTTTTTTAAGGAAGCTTTCCTATTTCCTCCTTCACCTACTTTTAAAATATATTTAAGAATAAGGAATTGTTCCTTGTAACTTTCAGAGCATAATTTTTTTTTTACCAGAAAATTATGTGTCTCTATCCAAGATTCTATAAACTGATTTTTCCTTTTTTATTTAGCAAACATTTATCAGGCACGTGCTACAGCCAAGACATTATTTTAATCCTTAGTAAAAGATGCAGAGATAAAACAAGAAATAGCCTTCAGGGAATTCAGAGTAGATAAGCATGTAAACTAACAAAATATAGTGTGGATAATACAATTAAAAAAAAAATTCAGGATATGGTGGAAACCCTGTGACTGGTAAACTCTGCCCTGGAGATATCAGTGAGGAAGGACTTCACAGAAAAAGATTCTTAATTTGGGTCCAGGTGGATAAGGGTGAATGAGGTATGAAGAAGGGAGGTGAAGGGTAATCAGTGCAGAGGGAAGACCATTTGGAAAGATAGAGGCATGAAAGACTGAACCCATTGGGGACCTGCATATAGTTTGGTATGGCTAGATTTTATGTTGCCAGAGGTGTTATCACAGGAGTAAGTTTTTGAGGTAGGAATTTGAGCCCCATTATATGTTTGGGAGTGTTTTGAATCCCAAGAACAATCTAAAAGTTTTTCTGTGAGGCTCAGATCTGAGGTGAATTTATCACCTACACCCAAGGTATTTCTTCCTGCTTTAAGGTGAGAGATTATACAAAGGACATCTAGGTTTGTTTTTGTTGTTGCTGTTGTTTTACTTATTTATTGAATGGTGGATGTGAATTCTTTAAGGATGACCAATTGAGTGAGTCAAAATTACTAAAATAAAATTATTAAGGATTTACCAAAAGTATGGGCAGGACTTTCTGTCCTGCTACCAGGATAACATTTTCTTTTTATATTAGTGAACATTGCTCTTCTTAAATTAATAGTTTAAAAGGCTGCTTTTTAAAATCTAAATCAATTTTACAATTTTTATTGTTTTTAATATAATTTAAAGATGTTACTTTTATCCACTTCTACTAGTAGTTTTCTGGAAACTAAAATAGACTAAAACTAGCTTTGTAATGTGGTGTTTGGTTGGCAGTATTATAATTTGGCTTAACCAGGTTAATGTACCAAAGTAAATAAAATCTCTTGAATACTTAACTATTTCAGAAAAGATTTGTTTTTAAGGTACTTACTGATCATTTTTTTTTTAAAAAACTGTTTCCAAAAGTAAAATGGCAAGCTTTCTGAGGATTTGGTATGTGGAGACTCTGGGAATGTGGCAGCTCTCTAAAGATATTGGAAGGGCTGTTGTGGGAAAGAGTAGTGCTGACTGGTAGAAAGTTACAAGGATATAAATTTTTGACTTATTCTAGAAAAGAACGTTGTCATCTATCTAAACTGTAGCCTAGTGGCTTGGGATCAGGGCAGATGTGATGTCAAAAACGTATTGTATGACTTGTTAGTTTGTGACTTTAGTCAAGTTTCATAGCCACTCAGTTTCTTCATTTTTAAATGTAGGAAATAATACCGTTATCTTCGGGTTCCCACAAGGATCACATTAAAATTACAGTGTTTCTAAGACATAGTGCCTGGCATGTAGTAGATATTTTAGTAAATGTTATAGTGTAGTGGGAAGCATGGAAGCTTTATATGCACAGACCTACATCCTGTATTCAGTATTTCTAAATGGAGAACTGTTGGCATTTGAGGTGGGATAATTCTTTGTGCTATTCTTGGCAGCTTGTAGGATGTTTTGCATTCATGGTACTAAAAGCCAATAATACCCTAGTCATTCTGATGATCATAATGCCTCTATACTTTTCCAAATGAGGGCAGCTGCCAGCCAAGGGCTTGGGTGCAGGTGCAGTCCTACCCTCGTTGAGAGCTACTGTTGTCTAAGTCTGGAACTTTAGCTAGTTTACTTGACCTTTCACAACCTCTTTCCTCATTACTGAAATAGGCATACTAACTCCGGTTTTGCATGATTTGTGTTAGGGATTAGTGATAACATAAAGGTACTTGTACAGAGCCTACTTAGGGAAAGGAAGCTATTTAGGAGCTGATAAGTTTGGATTTTATACTTGCTTTTGACACAAACCGTAACTTAGTGGGAATGTTCTAGAAAGTATTTCTGCCTTAATTTGGTTTGGAAGAAATTACTTTTATATCTCCTGGCCCCCTTATTATTTTACGATATTCTCAATGTGCAAATGAAACAAATATTCTTGGCTGTACTTCATGAAGTTGAACCTGTGGTGAATCTTTAAAAAGAAGAATTCAAATGTTTCCTGATAATCTACAACGTAGTAGGTACTAATATCTGTAACCAGCAGATCTATTTCTAAGAGTTAATGGATTAGTTAGGAAGAAAGGCATTTTCATGACTATAACTCAAATAACTGACAAGTGCTATGATAAGTAACAGGGAGAGCTGAGATTTAGAGCTTAATTCTGCCTAAAAAGAGGTAGTGTTTGAAGTAGGCCTTAATGGATTAGTAAAATATTGCAGGTATTTAAAATAGCATGAATCTCCTTTCCAACCAGCTCCCCAAAACAAAACAAAAAATAGCATGATGCATGATAGGATTAACATGTATAGTGCAGTCATGCATCACTTAATAAGGATACGTTCTAAGAATTCTAAGAAATGTGTGTGTCATGAGGTGATTTAATCGTTGTCATGTGAACATCACAGACTGTACTTAGCAAACCTAGATGGAATAGTCTATATGGTATGCCCTATTGCTCCTAGGCTACAAACTTGTACAGCCTGTTACTATACTGAATACTGAAGGCAATTGTAACACAGTGGTATTTGTGTATCTAAATATAGAAAAGGTAACATGTTGCACTACGACATCAGCAATAGCTACACCACTACTCAATAGTAATTTTTCAGCTTCATTATAATCTTAAGGGACCACCTTCATATATGTGGTCTGTCATTAACCAAAGCATTGTTATGTAGCTCATGACTGTATAAGATGTGCCTACCAGTTAGGGAAGACTTGGGGAGGCAATAAGGGAGTCAAGTTAGAAAGGTAGTTTGTAGCCACATTATGAGTGTCATACTGAAGTCTTTATTCTGTAGATAAGCCTGTGATGACATAGTAGTAGTAACTACAGCTGACTAGTTTTTCACTTAGCATTTGAGAAACTGTGGTACAGATAACAGCAATAAAGCTGAGTTCCACAGCTGATTACTTATAGAAGCAAGGCCAAAATCCAGACTTGATTTACAGTCTGTTTTAGAAGATGTACTTGAAATAGTGAGAGAGGTCAGACCAACCTTGATAGAGTTTAATCTAGGTGGAAAATCTCAAGGACCTCAAATAAGACAATAACAGGAAGGGTAAAGAAGAGACTGTAGAAATGAGGAACATGTGAAGGTAAAAGCAGCAAGATTTGGTGGGAAAGGGGGAAGTTGAAGGTAACCATAGTTTATAATCTGGGGGACTAGCCAGTTAGCTTGGTTGGTTAGAGCACTAACTTTTAACACCAAGGTCAAGGGTTCAGTTTCCTGTACCAGCCAGCCACACACACAAAAAATCATAGTTTATAATCTGGATGAATGAGGGGTGTTGAAGCCATTATAAAAAGATGGCAACATCTGTTTTGTACAACTCATTTGTGTGCAGGTAGATTTAAAACAGTGTGATACCTCCATTTAATGTTCAGTTGTTGAATCAGATGAAATATGTTTAAAAATTTTATAATTAAAAAAGCATAATAAATTAAAGCCCTGTCCATTGCTATCAATTGTGCTGCTTGTAGTGCCAGTAGCCAAAAATTATTCATTGAAAAGTAAAAGTGTTGTAGTTTAAAATTAAGTTGTAATACAAAGACTCGAGGAATGTTGCATAGGTAGTAATCTTAGTTTGCTGCAGCCAGGACTTTTAGAGCCCTTTGGCTGCTAACCCTGCTGATCATAGGTAGGTGTCTTATATTTCATTTGTAGTTTAGAACATGTAGCTTAATTCTCTGTTCATGGTAGACAGTAAATGGTTATTAATTGGCTGGTTGACTATAATTTGTGGTAGAGTCATCTTAAGAGCAAGAGCTTATCTTAATGGATTTTATTTGAATAGAGCTTGAGCCTCTGGTCTTGTGGAATGATATTTAAAGCTGACAGGATATCCTCATTGTACAAATGTATTAAAATGGCATTTTCAGGTTTATAAGTCTTCTGAACATGGAGATAAATTTATATTCTATTTGCAGTGCTATTTTATTCTAGAATCCCATCCCATTCTATCATTTCTGTTAGAGTAGTGCTCATGCAATAGTTTTTTCTACCTACTTTAGTTGAAAGCCCAAGGTACCCTATTGGGGGTGATGACAAGCTATTTATCATATGGTAAAAAAAAAAAAAAAAAAAAAAGTAGGACTACTCTAAGTTAATCTATTTTCTTCAAAGATTTAGGTTGACAGACATGTTTTAAGTTTTTGGCATCATAGGAAAACTTCACTCAACCCAGAGGAATACATATGTCCACATATTCACTTAGCTGCAGATTTTAGGGGCCTTTGAACATACAGAGGACCACATATTTAAACAGTTTAAGGTCTAGATTACAGAGTTCAGTGAGTTTTCTTAACTTACATGAACAGATGGACTTCTTTTGAGTCACTTGCCAAATGGTCCAACTGCTCATTTTAAAATGAGCAGTGTTCGGCTTCGTAAAGAAATTAAGGTAAGTTTCATGCTTTATTGGCATTGATCTCCTCACACAGTATTTGATTAGCAGATCTAATTGTATCTTATAGATCTAGTTGATTTTAATAATGGCATTTGTCCTGATTAAAGCAGTAGTTTTATCTAGTTTCCTTGTGAGATTGTTTGAGTCATAGCAAACAGACAATAGCCCTCATTAAATAGAAATAAAATCTTTAAATATATCTAATTTGTCATATAAATTGATACTTGAAATTGCATTGAGAGGTATTGTTTTGCTAATTAGCTTAATTTGTTATTGTGATTTTACATTCTTTTTCTAGAGAAGAGGCAAGGACCCCACAGAACATGTACCTGAAATAATTCTGAATAACTTTACAACACGGCTAGGTCATTCGGTTGGACGTATGTTTGCGTCTCTCTTTCCCCATAACCCTCAGTTTATTGGAAGGCAGGTCGCCACATTCCACAATCAGCGGGATTATATCTTCTTCAGATTTCACAGGTGAGGAAGGTATTTTAACTTTTTGGACTTTGACTTAGAAGAGAACATAAATTATCTTTTGAACTCTGTCATAAGGTTAAATACATACAGTTGAGTTCATTCAGACTAATTTCCTTAACTGTTTTGTCTTGGAAGGTACATTTTCAAGAGTGAAAAAAAAGTGGGAATTCAGGAACTTGGACCACGTTTTACGTTAAAATTAAGATCTCTTCAGAAAGGAACCTTTGATTCTAAATATGGAGAGTATGAATGGGTCCATAAGGTATGTGTTTCCTATTTGAAAACCATTTAAATCATTTTAAATATATAGAATGAAAAAGAAACCATGTGCTTTAAACTTTGGGTATTTATACTTAAGTTAGCCTTCTGAATTTCTTCCCCCATGAGCTAGAGAGAACCAATCTGATATGGTATCTGGGTCTGGTGATAAATCCTCATTCATTTTTGTTTAAGTATTCTAAAGATCAGTGATTCTCAAAGTGGGACCAGCAGCATCACCTAGGAACCTGTTAGAATGGAAATTCTGGATCAGCAGCTTAGGGGATGAGGCCCAGCAATCTTATAATGTGACAATCTTATAATGTGATTCTACTGCATGCTTTTGCATTGCCATAGATGTTTCATAGAAGTTTGGAGATCTTCTTAAATTATAAATGAAAACTCTAGTATTCTAGAACATACTCTTTTCTATTGAGAAAGTAGTACTTCACTTAAGGAACATTTTTACTTTAAAATTATATACGTATACACAGAACAGTAACTTCCAACACCTTTTATATTAGATCTAAGACTGATTATTCAGGGTCTCAGAGACAAACCCATAGTTTTCAGCATTAGTGTTATCTATAAAGGTCTAAGGAAGTTAATTTTTACTATCTTACCTGAATTGTTCATTATGTTTTTGTATTTTTTCCCCCTTTAATTTTCAGCCCCGTGAAATGGATACAAGTAGAAGAAAATTCCATTTATAAAGTACTGAGGGATTAATACTGGATTTTGCTGAACAGACCTATCTTGAACTTGGTAAATTATTTGTGAGAGAATACCCTTTTCAAAATGGCATTTACCTGTTTTCATTAATCTTCCATGTTTAGACAAATTTCCAAGTGCCATGAATTGCCACTGTATGTTTATGTAGCAAATACAAATAAAAGTCATTTTGATGAGAGTTTAGAAGTTGCAACTTAGGTTTCCTGAAATTCAGTTCTCTTATTTTTTGGTATATGTGAATAATTTTAGAATCAAGGTTCAAATTAACTTTCCTGGTTGCATTTGCATAGAACATGTGGGCTGGAGAAAAAGAAAATGGTTGGTAGATGTGTAGCCCCTGATTTTATACTTAATTAATCTTAGGTTCCCCATGTCTGGCACATAGTTTTAACTTAAATTGGAGGCCAGGTATTCTTCTAATGGAATTCTTACTTCCAGTCTTTTCTTCCTACTGCTATCCTTGCTAGGCAAGCCATCTGCTATGATGTAACTAACTTTTAGGTATAACCGGTAATACCCATACAAAGGAGTTTATTTGAAATAATTAAAACAAAGTTAACCCTATAAATAACTCATGGATAGAAACATAGGCCTTAACAGACTCCTCCTGACCTTAAAGGAATAAAAGTTTGCAGTTTACCTTTAATTCCCTAGCAGTCTTGCAAATGTATGGGATAAAGTCATGTGATAGAGTCAGTGGAACAAACACTAAAAATTTAACCCCCATAGGTGTTCAAAACAAATTAATACATAGTATAGTTAATACCAATAATAAAGCAAAAAGTTTATACTATTTTATTATATGCTGCTGCCAGTGTATATAAAATAATTACCCTTGTGAAATAGAAATACATGAAAATTCAGAGAGGTAGATGTTAAGGACTGACAAGTAGAAGTTTGTATATTATGGCACATGTGTTATAGGGATAAGCTTTTGTACAGGCTTCAAATTTAGCGCTCTTTTGAATATTCACTGGTTCATGAGAAGTGGTTTTGGAAACCTGAAATGGAAAAAGAAAAAAAGAAAAAAGGTAGATTAGGGTAAAGTATCAAAGAACTTAGTTTTTAAACTTTTTTCATGAATAATTACCAATTATCCCTGTTTTTGTATCTCAGTTTTTTATAAATTGCTCATGTCCTATTTTTCTGAATAACAGTACCTCTTATATTACTCTTAGGGCATTCATTCAAATGTCAGCTTATAAAATGCTTTCAATTAAACTAAGCCTGTTTCCTTGTCTTTGTCTTTTTGAAAAGCATATATGTATCACAGGGTTTCTAAGAAAGAATGAGAAATAGGATGGGAAATGTATATGGTGTAGTAGACAGTAAAATCTAACTTTCTCAACTTTCACAACCATTCTGAAATATATATTATTCCAGTTTTACAAATAAACAGACTTACAGGTTAACTTGCTAACATCACTGCTGAAATACACTGTATATTGTAAAAAGGTTAATATAAAAATCTTTTAAATCAAGAAAAATCTGAGCATTCCCTGAAAAATGAGCTAGAGCACTCTGGCAATATCTAGTAGAAGATGCAACCACACTACTGTTTACTTAGATAAACCTATACATAGAGAAACATGTACAAGGATATTGGCTGTAGTAGTGTTTTAACAGCAAAGAACTGGAAACAGCCTAAATGTAATTCAATAGGGGAATGGATGAATAAACTAAGGTTTACATGTATGATGTAAAAAGAGGGTATTTCAAAAAGTTCATGGGAAAATGGAATTAAAAGATAATATGAATCCATGAACTCTTTTGAACACCCCTGGTACTTTATAGCAATTAAAATAACTGAATAATCTATGTGGACAAACATAGTTTCAAAAATCAAGAAACCAAAGTTATGCCTTAAACAATAGTTATATTTTAAAGCTACAAAATACAATAAGTACATATAGTAAAAAGTGAAAACGTGGGCATACCAACTTCCAGATAGGTTATCTATATGGAAAGGTAGAAAAAGTATTAACTGTTTTATTTCTTTTTAAAAAGTAACAAGGTAAAACATTTCATTCAGAATGGTAGATAAATGGTTTATCTTTGTATTTATTTCAAAATTTGAGATATTTCATAACAAAAATGTTGAAGAGCCATAAACAGAATCAATGTTACGGCCAAAAAACATGAAAAATGTTTAACCTCACTTAAAATGGTAGCAAACAGACTAAGGTTTGTTTGGCAAAGGCTCAGCAAAAAAACACGCTCATGCCCTTCGTGGAATACCAAAGTATTATATTGGCAGTAGTTATCGACTGTTATTAAAATTTTAAATGTTTATCCTGTTCATCCCTTGTTGACTAATTTTACTTCTAGAAATTCATCTTAAGTAAATAGTTAGAGATAAAAGATACATATAGATACCAAGATGTTTGCCTCACAATAGCCTCAAATTTGGAAACTTCAGTATTCAATAAAGTATAATTAAGTTATGGTACAACCATTGAAAATCTTGTTTACAAAGAATGGTTAATGAAACAGAAAAAATTCATTGTTTTTTAAAGGCAGAATGAAAAACTGCACATTCTGTGATTCTTATTTTTAAAAATAAAAATTTTCCTCTTAAAAGAAAAATCTTTTGAAAATGATTATTTCTAGGTGTGCTGATCATGATCATTTTTATTTTTCATGTATTGCCTATTGCTAAATTACCTATGCTGTTTTTTCATTTGACATAAAATACTCTTAAGAAGCCACATAATTTTTAAAAGCTATTTATGAGTATAAAGACTCCAATGTATATTCTTTACATTCGTGCCACTCCATGTAGGCTTATGACCATCAGCACCAGTAAAATGTGGGAGCTTGTAATGAATGCAGGTTCTAGGGCCTCACCTCAAACCTACTGAAATAAAATTTACCTTCTAATGAGGTGATCTGTATGGTACATTCAATTGTGAGAAGCAATGCTTTTTTATACCCAAATAATCTTTCCCTATCCCAAATTGTTTCAAATCACAATATCCACAAAGCTGTTTTCTTATAATGCTGGGATTAATAGCCATTATTTTACTTTGGAATCTGGGTTCTTATCCCAGCCGTGTTTATAAACTTGAACAAGTTGTTTAAACACTTATCTGTAGCCTCCTGTGAAATGAAACTATTAACAGCTGCCTAGGCTTCTTAAGAGTATTTTATGTCAAATGAAAATAAACCATTGTGTAAAGTGAATGCAACAGGAACTGAGGTTAAAAAAGAATCTTTAATCATAAAAATATGAAACTTCCAAAAACTGCCATGAAGAACTAACTATTGCCAGAAGCCAGAAAATACCAAACTATTAAACATGAAGGTGCTAGACTCTTTGGAGAACGTGTTACTCAAAGGTGTGTCCCCCCACCCCACCCTCAGTGTTTCCAAAAAACGTAACAATGTTGACCAATCATTGTATTTACTGGAAATATGTTATACAGACTTCCTGGTCACTCCCAAGTCTACAAATCTTAATTCCGGAGGGCACAACCACATAGCAAGGTATTTTAGGAAGCAGCTTCCTGGACTTTACCAAGTAAAGAGTGTGTACCATGTAACACACATACACATACACACACACAGAATTTAAGCACTTTCAGATTGTTTGCTTCTCATAAATTAATGCTGGTGAATATACACCCTAACTAAATTGCTAAAGATTTATAAAAGGTAGCACCTTTGGATTACATTTTAAGTTATCCAAAGCACATTTTTGGTCACATCTCTTTTGCACTTACCTACGTTTTTGAGCATATGACATTTGATCTGGAAGGTAGAAATTAACTTACAGAAGCATGCTTTAATAAAGCCAGCATCTCTTTAGTTTCTTAATCCTCTGAAATCCAATCCACTGTCTGACTGCCACCACAAACTCATATACTTCATTACTTTCATGGTTTATCTTTGCCCAACACATGAGGATAAAAAGTAAAATGTTATTCCTCACTCCAAATGCCCACATCATGTCAGCTTATTCAACTACTTCCTGATTTTCTCTTGCATTCACAATTCCCAATTCTTTGCTATTATGCCCTATACCTAGGTTCTACTGGAGCAGTTAACATCAGAATTAATCCGAATCAATTGGTAATACTTTAAAAGCTATCCCCACAAACACTGATGATTTTTTTAAATGTCTAAATATTTGCTAGGTACACAAAAATAAAACTAGTACTTGAGGGCCGAGCCTGTGGCGCACTTGGGAGAGTGCAGCGCTGGGAGCGCAGCAGCGCTCCCGCTGCGGGTTCGGATCCTATATAGGGATGACTGGTGCGCTCACAGTGCTCAGTGGCTGAGCGCGGTGCAGCTGGTCTCAAAAAGGACAAAATAAACCCCAAAAACTAGTACTTGAGGGCCGAGCCTGTGGCGCACTTGGGAGAGTGCAGCGCTGGGAGCGCAGCAGCGCTCCCGCTGCGGGTTCGGATCCTATATAGGGATGACCGGTGCGCTCACAGTGCTCAGTGGCTGAGCGCGGTGCAGCTGGTCTCAAAAAGGACAAAATAAACCCCAAAAACTAGTACTTGAGGACCCCAAAATATACATGCCATTAGGACTATGCAATAAAAAGTAACAGATGGCTTGTCACAGCAGTAGAATTTTGTAATAACTTGCCTATACCTTTTTTATGGTTATTACATCCTCTATTTAACCCTCTTTATAGTAAAATAGGAAAGATTTGTCTTTATGACGACTTAAATCAAGTTTCATCAATACTCATTTCCTTACAAAGCTGGACTTGGAGCACCAAATGAAAGTGCATGGGATGTCTTTTAAGTGCTCCAAATAGAGACTTGACTAGTTATTCTTATGTGGGTTTTTGTTTTTATTTAAGGCAACTTACCTTTGAAGATCCATTTTACTACAAAAAGGAACAGACTTTCTGAGGTCTGAAAGGATTTGTACTTGAAGACACTCCAGTCAGCAGGGGGTCATGTTGAGCATTCTGCAGACAGAATTGTTTCAAGTCTGCAGCTGCCTGGGAAACCTGCACATAAAAAAGAGGGGGAACCGTGGGAGGTGGTAAGAAAGTTTTAAGGAAGGTTTTCTCAAATCTTTGGAAACACTTTGAAATAAACAGCCCTCCTCTTGCCTCAAAAGAAAATATTATAGACTAATTGAAGACTGAAAGTCACATACTGAGCTCTTCTATTTACTGTTTGTAATAAGACTGGTTCATAGTATGTTTTCTTTTGCTTGCTTATGAGAAGT